TTAGTTTATTGTGATGTACTAAAATAACTTGAATAAAAACTATAAAAATAAATATGGCGAAAATGCACAACAAAATGACAATCTATAAATAAATTAAAGTGAAAACCGAAAATAAAAAAATAAATATATAAAAAAAATCTAAATGAAAATATTATATAAAATATCCACAAGTTTGTTAAAATTTCCAAAGGGTGCCGCAACTAAAAAAAGCTTGGGAAACACTGCTCTAGACTGTTATTTTCTACTGCACTACAGTCCTAGTCTAGTCGTGAAATCTATTATTTTCTGCTTTGGTTTATTTCATTCTAGTCTGCTGCTGTTTTCTACTAGTCCATTTTCTGTTCTACTGCACTGAGGTTCTTCTAATCTATTCTATTTTATTGTATTCTGTCCTATTCTACTCTAGTCAAGTCATTTGGTCTGTTATTTTCTGCTCTGTTCTATTTTAATCTATTCTACTCGTATACTCTCCATCTATTCTAGACTGTTCATTTATGTTCTACTGCACTGCAGTCATTCTATTCTATTCCATTCAGCTCTGGTTTGTTTTATTCCACTCTACTACTATTTCCTCCATCTAGGCTAGATTGGCATGTTATTTTCTACTGCACTGTAGATCTACATCTATTTGATTCTATTATATGCTGTTCTGTTTGTTCCACTGTTCTATTATACTCCACTGTACTCATCTATTCTCACCTTCTATTCTAGACTGTTATTTTCTGCTGCCCTGTGGTCCTTCTATTCTATTCTATTCTATTCAGCTCAGGTTTATTTTATTCTGCTCTAGGGATGTAACGGTATGAAAATTTCTTATCACGATTATAGTGACCAAAATGATCACGGTTATCCGTATTATCACGGTATTGTTCAAATGTGCTGGAAATGTTCAAAAAGTACTGACACGCAAATCATTTCACCAAGTTTTACATTTAAAATCAACAAACAACAAATAAAATGACTTTTTGTTTGCATAATCACTAAAAACAATAACATTACCAATGATGTTCGGATTTTAAATGACAACTTGACTGACAACAGTTTAATAGCATGTTGAAATATCTAATGTAAATGTTCAAATAAAGCTTTGAAAAAGTTTCATAAATGGTAAACCTCACATTTCAGCTT